CAGTTGGGACATACCGTACAGAAGGAAATTTTGGAGGGACTAAATTTTGGCGAATTGCTAAATTTTGGTGATTGGCGAATTTTAATTTGGCGAATTTGTGGCCACGTGCCATTGAGCATGCGTATAATGGCTCAAAATGGCGAATTTTTATTTTGGCGAATGGCTATCAAAACGCCAAATTCGCCAAATTTAACTACCTCCAAAATTTCCTTCCATACGGTAGTATAACTAGTTAATTAACCATTATAACTATTAATAACAACACCCATAAGTATCACTAACATAAACAGACTAAGTATCTATGGGTATAACATAGATAATAGAGTAAATGAAATTACTCATTTACTCTATTATCTATGGGTATAACTACTAATATAGCCACACCCACTAATAATAAAGGTACAGTGTATTCACGAGTTTCTTGTGTGCAGAGATTCTCTTGCATCAGCTGGACTTTAGCTTGTAACCTTGTAGCTCTCTCTTCTCTATAGGCTTTCATACACAAGGCAACTTGTTGCTAGCAACCAAGCAATATGTTACCAAAAATAGAACACCTTCCTATTTCTGGCAACATGTTGCTTACAAGATCAAAGTAACTACAAATGCTGCTAGCAACAAGTTGCCTCAAGTGTAAAGGCCTTCAGTCTCCTCCTTAATTAAAATGCTTCCCTGGAGAGACGGAGAGGGAGAGACAGACAGACAGAAAGTAAGGTACATACAAAAAGGAAGAGAATATTAAACTTCAGTGAACATACATAAAAGATTTGGCTATAAAAGACTGATTCCAACTTCAATTTTTCAAGTTATGGCCATTTTTAAAAACAGCCAATTTTCGAAAAATTCCCAAGGCTATAGCCCATGGTTTTTTCCCAAAAAATGGCTCCAAAATCACCTCAAATTTTTATTACATTTTTTGATACATATTGATGCCCTTATGCTGTGTAGAAAGTTTGAGCTGATTCCGACTTCAATTTTTCAAGTTATGGCCATTTTTAAAAACGGCCAATTTTTGAAAAATACCCAAGGCTATAGCCCATGGTTTTTTCCAAAAAATGGTTCCAAAATCACTCCCAATTTTTATTACATTTTCTGATACATATTGATGTACTTATGCTCTGTAGAAAGTTTGAACTGATTCCGACTTCAATTTTTCAAGTTATGGTGAGCTAATGCATGCAAATTCTAAATGTTCCAATTAAACTATTTCTAAATCATATGCAACGCACATGCATGTACATGTATTAAAAGGCTCCATTATTATTATTATTATTATTATTATTATTATTATTATTATTGTTATTATTATTATTATCTGACCTTTGCTAATATGGTCAGTAACTCCTGGTTCATCTGATTTCTTCTTATCTTTATTGAATTGTGCTAACTCTAACTTTGTATCAAAATCATCAGTCCATGAATGAGGCTATTATTAATTAATTAATTAATTATTGTTAATTAATGAAGACGACACCCACCATTATTTGACGAATAGCTGAGCTGTACTGATGCCAGGAGACCTCTCCTTCATGTAGTAAATATTTATGAAATAATAGCTTGAAATGCTACAAAGAAAAAGAATTACATGTACACATGTGTATAAGAACACATGTGTACATGTATAAATATACCGTAATTTGCCTTTTTTTCGTTGTGGAAATATTTTCGTATGGTTCTAAATTGACGAAAATATTTCAATCGAAAATTTTTGAGCAACCAAAATTTGTGACCTAATTCATCAAAGAAAGACTAAGGTACGGCCTGATAAGTAGGTATCTTCTTGCAGCTCTAACCTTGCTCTATCCACTGGTGCTTGCTGTACTTCAATCAGTTGCTTTACTACTGAGTTATAAAATAAAACGGTCCACCATGTGACAAAAGTAGCCATTTAATGTTTCCGTTTATTATCCGTAAATTGGTCATTGCTGCATCTCCAGTACTATCCGTATACTAGTAATGTCGGGGGGAACAGCCAGGTCAAGAATCTCTTATCTCAAGAATTATAAACACTACTATAGCGGCCTTGTTACCAGTAGGTAAAGGACAAGGTACATGTTGTATGTGCAAGAGAAGCTAAATTTCAGA